TGTGTGTAAAGGTAGAAAGTTGAAAGTGAATGTAGAAAAGAGTAAGGTGATGAGGGTATCAAATTATTTAGATAAAGAAAAATTGGATATCAAATTGGGAAAGAGGAGTATGGAAGAAGTGAATGTTTTCAGATACGTATTTGGGAGTTGACGTATCAGAGGATGGATTTATGAAGGATGAGGTTAATCATGGGATTGATGAGGGAAAAAAAGTGAGTGGTGCATTGAGGTATATGTGGAGAGAAAGAACATTATATATGGAGGCAAAGAAGGGAATGTATGAAAGTATAGTGGTACCAACACTCTTATATGGGTGTGAAGCTTGGGTTGTAAATGCTGCAGCAAGGAGGCAGTTGGAGGCAGTGGAGATGTCCTGTCTAAGGGCAATGTGTGGTGTAAATATTATGCAGAAAATTCGGAGTGTGGAAATTAGGAGAAGGTGTGGAGTTAATAAAAGTATTAGTCAGAGGGCAGAAGAGGGGTTGTTGAGGTGGTTTGGTCATTTAGAGAGAATGAATCAATGTAGAATGACATGGAGAGCATATAAATCTGTAGGGGAAGGAAGGTGGGGTAGGGGTCATCCTCAAAAGGGTTGGAGGGAGGGGGTAAAGGAGGTTCTGTGGGCAATGGGCTTGGACTTCAGCAAGCATGCCTTAGCGTGTTAGATAGGAGCGAATGGAGACGAATGGTATTTGGGACCTGACTAGCTGTTGGAGTGTGAGCTGGGTAATATTTAGTGATGGGTTTCATGGAAACTGGTTATTTTATATAGCTGGACTTGAGTCCTGGAAATGGGAAGTACAATGCCTGCGCTCTAAAGGAGGGGTTTGGGAGGGATATGTTGTGTATCTCTATACGTATATGCTTCTGAGCTATTGTATTCTGAGCACCTCTGCAAAAACAGTGATTATGTGTGAGTAAGGTGAAAGTGTTGAATGCTGATGAAAGAATTTTCGTTTTAGGGATTTTCTTTCTTTTTGGGTCACCCTGCCTCTGTGGGAGATGCCTGACTTGTTAAAAAAAAAAAATATTCTAGACAATAGTAAATGACCAGTGCAGGTGAAAATGTTCACATGTCAGTGTGATTGTTACAATTTGAGTACTATTTCAGTAGATAATATTAGTGTCAGAACAAAGATTGGCTATGAAATCACAAGAACTATTGTAAATTCTAATTATCAGAACATAAAAACTATATAAATTAAAATAAAAATGAGAAAAAAAGGTAAATTGGCAACACTTCTGCAAGCCACAGGACTGGATGTTGCCGTCGGGCGAGCATTCAGAGCCAGCTTCGCGGTCTTGTATCTCGGTAAGTACTGGTTCTAAATTTTTTTTTTTTTGGTCTTATACTGCACAGAAAGTAGCCCTCTTTAATTTAAAAACAAAAAAAAAAACATTTTTTTTTTATTTTTCAGAATATTCGGAACACCACGCATGTGAACGTAGATAGATCTATGTTTGGACAGTTAAGGGTTAAAGGAGGGCTTTGGGATATTGTCAGTTAGGAGGGATATGTTATATATCATTATATATGCTTCTAAACTGTTGTATCTGGGCCCCTCTGCAAAAACAGTCATAATGTATGAGTGAGGTGAAAGTGTTGAATGATATTGAAAGTGTTTTCTTTTTGGGGATTTTCTTTATTTTTGGGTCACCCTGCCTCAATGGGAGACTGCCGACTTGTTGGAAAAAAAAAAAAGTTTTTTATTTTATTCTTCAGTGCTTGTTTGATTGTAGAAGAGTGTTGTAACTGTAGATGAATATAAATAAGTAATTGATACTAAAGTGTCAATGTAAGGGTGAAATTTTTAAGTTGGAGTTATAGTATATATAGAAATAAATTTTAGAAACACTCTAATTTTCTGTGTAATGTTTTGTTGACGGCCGACTTGTTGAAAGAAAAAAAAAATGGATATGCATTATACACATGGTTGTTTTTAAAAGTTTGGCTTTCATGTATTGTTGAAGGCAACTTTTGTATACACTTGTATATGTTTTGCCAGTGTATCAGCAAAACATACACAAATTTTGATAATACAGTATCAGTATTAGCACTGGCCTAATACTAAGTATCGACTGATTTTGCTGGGGTCGGTGGGTATCAGCTAATTTTGTCGGTATCAGTATTGGCCTAAAATAGTGTTGTATGAATATAGGCAAAAAATTTTTTATTGTCTCATCCCTAATAATTAGCTTGTAGTAGAACAACATCTATTATTCATTATGTAATTATCTACAGTGGAACCTTGGTTGTCAACTGCATTACTTGTCGAACATATCTGTTTTCAAATGAGGAATTATAGAAAAAATGTCCTGGTGTTTGAATATTCTCTTGGTTGTTGACTGATAATGTGAACAGCTTGGGTCACAAGCTCATTGACTCACATGGTGTAAACATCTTTGAGCTTTTGTTGTGCATCTTGTGATCTTTTTTTTTTTTTTTTTGTTATTTTGCAGTTTTAGTGCAATTTTTTATTGTGAGATAAGCCACCATGGGTCCAAAGAAGGACCATTTCAATATCCTCACCTGCTTGAGGCTTACAGACAAAGCCTGGGGAAATGTGTCTTCCAGGACCATGCATTCAGCATGGAAGAAATTGTGGCCTGACTTCGTGGCAGCCAGGGATTTTGAAGGCTTTGAAGATGAGCCAGAGTCATTGCCTGTAGATAGTATTGTGTCCTTGGGAAAGACCTTGGGCCTAGAGGTGACTGAAAAGGATGAGGAGTTGGTAGAGGAGCACAGAACTGAACTCCCATATCTGAACATACCATATCATAAAAATCTTTGAAAGAATTCTAAGAAGCAAGATTGCCAACCACCTAGATACCCATCAGTTATACAACCCAGGGCAACACGGGTTTAGAGCAGGTCACTCCTACCTGTCCCAGCTACTGAACTACTATGACAAGGTTCTGGATGCTGTTGAGGATAAACAAAATGCAAATGTAGTATACACAGGCTTTGCGAAGGCTTCAACAAGTGCACCCATGGTGTAATAGAGCAAAAAATGTGTGATAAAGGAATAACAGGAAAAGCTGGTAGATGGATCTATAACTTCCTAACAAATAGAACACGAAGAGTAATAGTAAACAGAGTAAAGTCTGAGGCAGCCACGGTGAAATGCCCTGTTCCACAAGGCACAATACTCACTCCCATCCTATTCCTCATCCTCATATCGGACATAGACAGAAATGTAAGCCATAGCTCCATGTCTTCCTTTGCGGATGACAATTGCCATGACAGTGTCCTCCATCGAAGACACTGCAAGACTCCAACTGGACATCAACCAAATCTTCAAACGGGCCTTTCAAAACTATATGAAGTTCAATGAAGAGAATTTTCAACTACTCATATATGGAAAACTTGAGGAAATTAAAACTATCAGGGTATACAACAAATTTTAACCATACAATAGAGCGAGAAAGTAATGTAAAGAACCTGGGAGTGATAATATCAGAGGATCTCACCTTCAAAGACCACAACAATGTATCTATTGCATCTGCTAGAAAAATGACAGATGGATAATGAGAACCTTAAAAACTAGGGATGCCAAGCCCATGATTCTCTTCAAATCACTTGCTGTCTCTAGGCTGGAATATTGTTGTACACTAACTGGCCCCTTCAAGGCAGGCAAAATTGCTGTCCTAGAGAGTGTACAAAGAACTTTCATGGCACACATAAGTACGATAAAGCACCTAAATTACTGGGAACGGTTGAAGTCCCTTGATTTGTATTCCCTGGAACACAGGCAAGAGAATACTGATAATATACACTTGGAAAATCCTAGAGGGATTAGTACCAAACTTGCACACAAAAATCATTCCCTATGAAAGCAAAAGACTCAGCAGGAGATGCAACATTCCTGCAATGAAAAGCAGGGGTGCTGCGAGTACACTGAGAGACACACAATAAGTGTCAGGGGCCCAAGACTGTTCATCTGACCTGGCTGTCTTCAAGAAGGCACTGAACAGGCACCTGAAATCAGTACTTGACCAGCCGGGCTGTGGCCATACGTCAGTTTGCATGCGGCCAGCAGTAACAGCCTGGTTGATCAGACCTTGATCCACCACGAGGCCTGGTCTCAGAGCAGGCCGTGGGGGCGTTGACTGCCGAAACCCTCTCCAGGTATACCACAGAAGAACTTGTAAACCTTCAGAAGTAGCAGCAACAGATTGCAGCAGAGGAACTGTCATCAGAGGAAGAGGAGAAAAGGGTTGATGTGCCCATTGCACTTGTCCAGGAAATGTGTGCTGAATGGCATGATGTGCAGGAGTTTGCTGAAAAATACCATCCAGACAAAGCAGTGGCCATCAGTCCCCCTAACATTTTCAGCGACAGTGCTTTTGTCTCTTTTTAAAGGCGGGGTTGAAACGGAAAAGGCCTGAAATAAATTTTCTCCATGGACAGGTTTTTTGTGAGACAAAAGAACCATTTTTGAGCCAGAAAAAAAAAAAAAATTTTGAGGTTAGTGAAAAAAGAGGCAAAAAAGAAAAAACAACCCCCAGAAGGACTTGTTTCTGACATTTTTTAAAAAGAAGGGGACTCCCCTTCCAAGCTTTTAAACCAGCCCCCCCTCTCCTCCATCCCCTGCTGCCATTTATGTCATTAGTCTTCTTGAAGGTAAAGAGGCAGTTAAATTTTATTTACTGTACAGTATTCCAGGTTTTTCGTTTCTTTTTTTACAGTTTTATGCAAAAAATACTTTTTAAAAAATTTTTATATTTTTCCTTTTTGGGGGCCCTGAAATGTTTAATTCTTGAAAACATATTTCTTTAGGGGGAAAAAATTCCCTTTGGTTGTTGCCATTTTGGTTGTTGAAGCAAATTTTTGGAAACAAATTTAAGTTCGACAACCGAGGTTCCCTGTTGTTTTTTTTATTCCTCATAATATGTTAGAAAAAGTGGCATTAGGGTGACTTAATAATTTTTAAGTGTGTGTTTTGGATGTATGTTGCCTACAAGGTAATTGAAAATTTTTTTTATTTGCTTTTTTAAAGAATATGTGGTTTTTACCCCGGGTTTAAAGGAGGGGCCCAATCTAGACGAAGGTCTCTGCTCAAAAATTTTTTAAATTTAAAAATTAAATTTTGAAGTTGTGGTGGCCTGCAGGGCAAGGCTTGGGGGGTTTTTTGAGAGCTTTGCATGGGTGTAAGTTACTTTTAATTTTTGTTTCGGCCCTTTTTTTCTTTTTTTGAAATTCCAAATTTGTGCATGATTTTACTTTTCGAAAGGTTTGAAAATTTGGGGAAAAAAATTTTTCTTAAATTTAAAAATAAAATGGTTATATGAAGAAAAAGGGATAATGATAGTTTCAGCCCGGACCCCCTAAAAATTTTTTAATTAAGAATTTTAAGGTTGTTTAGGGTTTTTTACATAACTTTTTTTTTGTATCTGATAAAATTTATTTTTTTTAATATCGTTTCTGGGTTTTAATCAAGTGTTTTGTGTGTTTTGTGTTTTTGTCTGTGTCTGTCTGTCCCGTCCCCGCCGAAGGGGACATTAATTTTGTGTGGGTTTGGAAAAAGATGGTATTGTAGTTTCTTGGTAAAGCCAAAAACAAAAAAGAGTGTTACATCTCTTTAAAAATGCAACACTTAAAAATACTAGTGCTCACACCATTTAAAACGGAAAACCAAAAAACCCCCTTATAACTTTAGGGTATACGGGAAACTAAATTTTTTTCCTTTTTTAAATTTTTCAAAAGGGAGATGAAATTTCCCTTTACCCTTTGCTGTTTCAGTCGGTATATTGTCTTACGAGGCCAATGGGGTTTGAGTATAAAAACAAAGGGGGCCCTCGCATTTCCGTTGGGATTTACCCTAACGTTTAAAAAACCGCATACAAGATACATTTTATCACTAAAATTTTTCCCCGCATACCCCCTTTAAAAAACCCCCGCTCAATTTTTTTATTCGTCCGGACGCTTAATGTTTCGGGGCCCGAGCCAGCTTACATGTTTGGTTTGGTTTTGGGTTTGTTTACAAGAGCCTCCGCGGGTTTTTCATCCAAATACAATCGGAACATTTCGTATTATTACAGCTTTTTTTGGTGATTTTATCTGCCCAAAAAAGTGGGCCAGGGGGGCCCCAAGGGAAAAAAACCCGTGCTAACCCCAGTGGGAAAAAAGGGGTGAGAAATATATTCCCTTCCACAGTCCCCTTTTCTTTTTCTCCATTTTGGGCGGGTGTTTTTTGGGCCAGTCAGCTGTTTGGGTGGATCAGTCAGCTGCTGTTGCACCTCGATCAGCGGGTTTCTGGATCAGCAGCTGCTTTTTGGGACCCCCCGATCAGTGTTGTTGGACCCGTCGCTGTTGCGGGAAACAGTCAGCTGCTTTCGCACCACGATCAGCTGTTTTTGGGGGCCCCGTCAAACTGTTGCTGGGGTCAGTCAGCTGGGTGCTGCACACCCAAACTGTTGCGGACCAGACAGTGTTGCTGGATCCGTTAGCTGCTTCTGCCCCCACGATCAGGGTGTTGCTGGATCAGTCAGGTTGCTGGATCAGTCAGCTGTTTTCTGGACCCCTTTAACTGTTGCTGGCCGTCAGCTGTTGCTGGATCAAATCAGCGTTGCTGGTCAGGGTTTTTAAAACTGTTCTGGATCAGTCAGTGTTGCGGAAACGTAAGCTGTTGCTGGACCAGTCGCTGTTGCGGACCCGTCAGCGTTGTTGGACCGTTTAGGGTGTTTTTTTGGACCGTTTAGCTGTTGCTGGACCAGTCATGTTACTGGACCGTCAGCTGTTGCTGGGGCCAGTCAAGGGTTTCTGGCCCGTCAGCTGTTGCTGGGATCAAATCAGCTTTTTGCTGGATCAGTCAGTGTTGCTGGACCCGTCCGCTGTTGCTGGTTTTAGCAGCTGACTGGGACCAAAAGGCAGCTGCTGTTCTTTTCACCCTAGCTGTTTTTTTGAAATTGGGCTCGTCCCGAACCCGTTCCCTCCAGGGCCCGGCGTGCCTTTTCGTCATTTTTTTTTACAAGCCAGGGGTGGCCCGGGTTTCATGCATTCATTCGATACTTTTTTATTATTCCATTATTTATTTGTGCTGTAATGCTATTAAGCAAAAAGGGGCCCCCCAAAAAAAAGCTTTGTGCCAACCCTGTGGGTAAAAAAAAAAAAGGGGGGGGTAAATACTTTGTACCACAGTTTAGCTTTCTGCCCGCCCACAGTTTAGCTGATAAATTGGACCCCAAACGCTGTTGCCCGCACCCCCAGGGGTGCACCTTGGGTCAGCTGTTGCTGCACCACAGCTGCTGCTGCACCATGGTCAGCCCGGACCACCAAGTGTTGTTGGTTTCTGCACCACCATCGCCCCGTATTACTTTTGAAGTGTGGGAGGTGTGTTGGTTTTGGTTTTTGGGTTAAAGGTTTAATCAATTAACCCAAAAAACGATTAACCCCGGAGGGTTAGCCCCCCAGGATAAAAACCCCAAAAAAGTCGTGCATTTATTGAGGGGGCTCTCAACTTTTTTCCATTTGGGGGCCTTAAACTTGTCTCCCCGGGGTGCAACCCACACCGTCGACTAAAACCCCGGTTTTTAACAGGGGGAAAACGCCCGGAACTAGTGCTCAAAATTGGTGTAAATTTAAAACCCGCAAAGGTTGGTTTTTTTGGTTTTAGGGGATTTGAAGATTTTGGGGAGTGGATACTAGTGTGATTTGGCCTGTTTTTGGGAAAATTTTCCAAAAAGGAAACCCTTTAGTTTCTCAGGAGGGAAAAGGCCAAATCCCGGAAACATGTTATCAGTATTGCTGCTTTTTCAATAAAGGTAAGGTTTTTATTTATTCTTCATTTAAATAGAAATTGGTTTTTTATTGGACAAAATTATATGGGGCATGTACTACTCTACTTTGTGCATGTTTTTCCTTTTTCTTTGTGGGGGTAGGAAAATGTATTAAATTTTTTTTTGGTTTTAAAAATTTTTTTTTTTTAAATTTTGGGTGTCTTGCACGGAATTTTTAAGGGGGGTTTTTTTTATTTCTTATGGGGAAAATTTTAAATTTTCAAACGATAATTTTGGGATAACAATTAAACTTAAGAAGGAAATTTTAAAGTTATTTCGGGGGTTTCCCCCTGTATACTCAAAAATTTTAGTGGCCCCTTTAAATCAAGCAGGGGAAAACTGGGGGGGGCCCCCCATTTTTGAGAGAATGGGTCTGTGTGGTCAATGCGTTTCCCGTTTTAAAAAAATCCGGAGGGACGCAGTGGATAAGAGAAAAAAAATCTCTGACTGTGTTTTTGGAATTTAAAAACGCCGACTTTGGGTGTATTTTCGGGTTTTGTTTTTAAAGGTTTTTTTTTCTGTTTTCGTAGTACTTTTTATGAATTTGGGGAAAAAATTTTTATAGAAATGGAGGGGATTTTGAAATTTGGGTTTTACTATGAAAAGGACCTTTAAATTGAGCTTAAAAATTTTGGGGAAAATTTTTTGATTTTTTTCCCATGTTCAAGAGTAAACAAAAATTTCACCGGTTTTTTCCAGTAAAATCCAAATGAGCCATTTTTTTAAATACCCGTCATGAATGGGTTTACATTTTTATAACTTAAAACAACATTGCAGTAGTCTGCAAAAATGGAAATCTTTTTTATTTTTTGCTTTTAAAAAAAATTTAGACTTTGAAAGCTAAAAGTGATTCAAAAGGGGCCTGGAGGGGTGATTTAGGGAAAAAAAAAAAAATTTTATTTTTGGGAGCAGGAATGTTTTTGCTTTTTTTTCTTTCTGGGCCCTATTTTGAAATTTCTAATTTTTTTTTTTTTTGTGGAAATTGGCCCAAATTGCCAATTTCTGACCTTTATTGGGAATTTTAAATCGTTTTTAAAAAGGGGGGTTCTTGTAGGCAAACGATTTGAACAAATGAAGGGTTTTAAAAGGGAAAAAGCTTCCCAGTTTTTGGGGACTGAACAATGAATTAGCCCAAAAATGGGTCCCGAGTGGGGGGAAAATTTCCGATTTGTAAATATCGGAGGTCACTAACCCCTTTCAAGGCATAATTTCCCTTAAATTTTCCATCAACTTTCTACTTTTGGGGTATTTCCATTGGTGAAAAGATTCTTTTATCATTTCATGAGATTTTTTTTTTTTTTTTTTTTTTTTTTTTGGCGACAACCAGGAGACCCTCAGGGGTTTGGGGATTGAAACAGTCAAGGGTTTAAATTTTAATTCAAAATAAATAATTCTTTACATAAAGGCTTCTCATTAAAAGCCATTATTAAATAGGACTTTCAGAAATCCACATATAGATTTGTTAAAATAGGTCAAATTTCCCAAAATTAAAGTTTGGCTTTTTGTGACAAAAGGGGCATCTTTCACACAGGGTATATATGTCAGACCCAGGGTTTTTTAGACAAACCCAACCTTTTCAAATTTAAATTTTACAAGGAAAGAAATTTCCCATAGTTAGAAACAGCTCAACCCTAAAAAATGGAGCAGTAAGATACTGAGTGCTTCACTGCATACTTCCCACCCTTAAAAAGTCTAAATTAAATTAATATCATAAATTTTCACTTTATCTGTGCTTACTGCATATCGGCCCAAAATCGTTTTATATAAATACTGGCTAAAAACTTTTCATACTGCACAGAAACTCATATGCATAATTTTTTTTTATTAACACATGGGCCGTTTCCCCCCCCAAAGAAGGAAACCCCCAAAAAAGAAAAAACTTTTTTATTACTTTCAGCCCATCACGTCTTCCCAGGGGCATTCCACACTACACTTAAAAAAAACTGCAAATATCATCCCCTCCCTTCAGAGCGCGGGCACGTACTTCCTCCCTCCAGGACTCAAGCCCCACAAACTGTTTTCCCCGGAATCCCTTCAAAAATGTTCTTTACTCACACAAAAACAGACGTAAAGCCATAAAAAACCTTGCTCCATCTTTCACACTTGCGGAAGCCCAACCCCCTTCCACAAAACCTCCTTTACCCTCCCCCTACCCTTTTAGGATACCCCTACCCCCCCTTTCCTTCCATTTTAATTTAATCCCCTCTAAGTCATCCTGCTTTGTTCCCC